TTTCACTCATCTATATGCAGGGTACGTTTATGTGTCTGTGTGTACAAGCACATTGAAAATAATGGAGTGCATTTAGATCAGAAAAAAATAAAAACAAACACCTGTATGCCTAAAAACTTTGTTTTTAGGCAGTAGTGTGCAAGAGGCCAATGAGTGATGTGGTGAGGCAGTCGTAACAATACATGGAATCTGTGCAATGTACACACACATATATATATATATATACATACACACACACACACACACACACACACACACACACACACACACATATACACACACACATAGATTGATTCATTGATTACTGGCGCAGCCTCCGAGTCCCCCTGCATGGCTCCCCCAAACTTCTGGTCAGGGAGTGTGCATCGCATCATTCACAGTAACCCCGCCTTCCTCAGGACTACATGTCCCAAAATTCAAACCACCTCTGCACATGTGCAGACTTTGCAAGCTGCTTTCAATGACAGGCATGTTCTGGTGCGTCTATTGCTCTTAGGCCACCTGTGTCCATCGGTAGAAAAATGCATGAAAGGGTGGCTCCATAGGACTCTGTAAGCCAAAGAGTCACCACAGAAATCAGAGCCAGGGATTTGGGGACAAGTTGAAAAGGGACAATATAAAAATACAGAAACATAAGCAGCAGACAACGTTCGTCCCGACATCAGCGTCTTAAGTGGAATAAAAAAAAAAATAAAAAATGAAGAAATGTTTTGTTTTTTTTTTTTAAACCTACCTGAGCCCATCAATAAGCTAAATATACCAATAGCCATATGCCCATCAATCAATATAATACACAGAGTGCTCTCCCTGCACCAGCCATGACTGCACAGCTGGGATCCACATATTCTGTTGCCATCAACAAAGATACAGTACAAATACATTGTATCAACAAGAATCCTAAAATGTATCAAACAGTCTCAGATAGAGTGGTGAAGAGTTATCCACACACGCGGGGCATTTTAATGACGCCGATAATGTTAGTGGTGTAAAGTCGTGTTAAAAACGTGAGTTTTTCAGCATTCTGTATTAGCATTTAGCCGTGTTTTAGATTTTTTTTTTTTTTTACTGAAAAAAAAATGCATGTCTTTGGAGTGTGGGAAGAAACCGGAGTACCCAGACGAAGCCACTGTGCTGCCCATAACACACTAACACATTTACACCCCGGTCACATTGGGTGCAACTTGGCATGTGATTTGCATGCGATGCGACTTGCAAATCGCACCCTACTGTCCCCATTTAGAGCGGTCATATCGGTGCGGTTCAGACTTGGTCGGAGCAGCACCGATCTCTAAACTAGTACATGCGCTACTTTTGGTGTGATTTGCATAGACACCTGTTTCACATATCTTGCAAATCGCACCTGAAATCGGCATCTCATCTGACTATTGAAATCATGCAACTTCACTGTAAGTCGCACGATTTTAAAGTTGGGCTTGATGTGACCGGGATGTGAGGTGCATCTAGCACTTTGGCATTAAAGTGGTCGTAAACTGAATTTTTTCCATTGCCCCTACAGGTAACCTTATAATAAGGCTTACCTCTAGGCCAGGCATGTCCAAAGTCCGGCCCGGGGGTCGGTTTAATACGGCCCTCCAACAGCCCTCCCTGCTCTGTGTAATGTGGCCCTCCCTTCTATGGCAGACCGTCTTCTGCTTGAGAGCAGAGGGCAGTGCGCATGCCTGACTGCGGCGCATTCTCCCTGGTCTGTGTAAATGCGTCTGTCGCACGGCCCTCCCTTCTGTGGCAGACTGTCTTCTGCTTGAGAGCAGTGCGCATGCGTGACTGCGCCGCGCTGGGAGCGACAGAGGGCGGTGACGTCAGGGCCGGGCTTCCAGCGTGAAGTGTGTTTCTCTTCCCCTCCCGGATGCCGAGCAGAGACTTCAGCTCCAGCTACCTTTTTCACCCTTCACATTAGTGCAGGTAAGTTTATTTTCAATACATTGTGAAAACTCAGCTGTCCGTTGATCTTAATGTTATGAAATGAAAAGTATGTCGTTTGCAATTAACTTGGCATAAAAAAATGTATTTGCATTTAATTGTAATGGTTCAAAGAATGTTCGGAAAAATGTTCGGCCCTCCACCATGTTCACTTCATCCAATCTGGCCCTCTTTGAAAAAAGTTTGGACACCCCTGCTCTAGGCAGTGGTGTCCCTAGGCAGGTGTGGGTGGTGCACGTCGCACGGGGTGACACCTATCGCACGGGGTGAAACCGGACCCGCTCCATGAAAAGGTAAGTTTTAAAGCAAGCCGACAATCCCCGCAGGATGGTTCGGATCTGTGGATTGCGGAGTCCGATCCATTAGGCTCCCCAATCCGCAGATACGATCCATCCTGCGGGGATCGTCGGCTTGCAACCTATACGCTCCAAGAAAAGGTAAGTTTTAAGGGCTTGCTTTAAAACGTACCTTTTCGTGAAGAAGTCAGTTAACTCCGTATAGGTTGCAAGTCGACGATCCCCACAGGATGGATCGGATCTGCGGATTAAGCATAATGGATCGGACTCTGATCCATTATGCTCCCAATCCACAGATCTGATCCATCTTGCAGGGATCGTCGACTTGCTTTAAAATAAAAAAATAAAAAAAAAAAAAAAAAAACTTACCTTTTTGTGGAGCTCGAGGAGAGATCAGTTAACCCCGTAGAGGTTGCAAGCTGACGATCCCCACAGGATGGATCTGATCTGTGGATTGGGGAGCAGAATGGATTGGACTCCAGTCCATTATGCTCAGTCCGCAGATCCAATCCATTCTGCTGGGGTCATCGGCTTACAACCTGTAGGGGCTTAACGGATCTCTCCACGAGCTCAACAAAAAGGTAAGTTTTTAAATCTGATCCATCCTGCGGCACTTGTCGGCTTGCAACCTATACAGAATTAACTGATCTCTCCACGAGCTCCACAAAAAGGTAAGTTTTTAAAGCAAGTCGATGATCCCCGCAGGATGGATCGGATCTGTGGAATGGGGAGCATAATGGATTGGACTCTGGTCCATTATGCTCAGTCCGCAGATCCGATCCATCCTGTGGGGATCGTGAGAGGGGTGACACCAACCCTAGGGACACCCCTGCCGCTAGGTACAGTGAAAATCTCAGAAATGTGCACCGTTTAGGAGATATTCACTGTTACTGCAGCCAGCGACATCACTGAAGCATGCGCTCTGAAGGGATAGCATGCTCATGCAGTCTCTTCAGAGCTCCGTGACGCGCATGCCTAGGAGAGACGTCATCGTGGCTCAGCCAAAGGACCAGAGCTTGCAAATCCAGAAGGAAGACCAGGTGAAGCCCGGTTGACGGTGACAGCACACCTCTGGAGGGCTTTGTTTTAAGGTAAGTTTTTCATAATGTGCTAATATGCCATTGCCTTGCAGGAGGATTTTTTTTTTTTTAATTTCCAGCGTTTACTACCACTTTAATTCATTGCATTGGCCATAATAATTTATTCTGGCCACTGAAATGAATGCTCAAGCAAAAAACACGCATTTAGGCGCATCGGGCATTTTGTCTGCCTAAACGCTACTGCTCTTGGACACACTGGCATCGTTTTTTTTCTGCCTCTAAATGCCTAGGTGTGTATGGACACATATGCCAACATGCAGAGGTGTTTATAGAGGCAGACAAAAAAATGCCAGATGCCCAGCAGCAGCATTAAAAACAACCAGTGTGCATGAGGTCAGTGTCCCTGTATGGGAGCTTCATCCTTGCCAATTGTTCTGCTGACCACTATCATCGGGAATGAAATGGATGAAGATCAAAAACTGAGTTTTCTTCAGGAACAGAAGTAAAATCTTCCAATGGAAACAATTGCTATAGTGACATCCATCTCACTTTGAAAAGATTCTGTCTACTGGACAGGAAGTGAAGTGAAATCTCCCCAATGGCACACAGATGGCATAAGCAAAACCTCAAAATGTTTTAACCCTTCCCCGCTCTATCCAAAATGTTAAAAATCATTGGCTTTAGACAGTAGGTAGAGAGGTGGAGAATGATCTCCCTCATCACAGAACAGATTGCCCAGGCAATTGTGAGGTCAAAGCACCAGTTTGGGAGAAGACGTGGTAAAGACAAGCAATTCCTTCAGAGAAGAGTAAAGTCGGCATTTCTTCCCTCAGATGGGAATTCAGCTTGATCATCCTCCTCCTGTCATCCAGCTAATCCTTAAGAGTCCATAAGCACATCTCAGATGACACCACAAAGCCATCCATAACTTCGCCCTGATCACCGACCTGGTCTCCTATACCACGCAAACCTTCCTCTTCACTCTTCCAAAGGCCTGCTGCTCTCTAGCTACCTTGTCACCACCTTCATGCTCACCTCCAGGACTTCTCCAGAGCCTCTCCCATCCTCTGGAACTCCCTAACCCAATCTGTGACTCTGTCCTCCTTTAAGTGTTTCCTAAAAACTCATCTTTTCAGGAAGCTTATCCCACATCTACCCAACAACTGGATTTTTACTTTATCCCTCAACCCCCCCCCCACAGTTAATACCTTATTGTATCAGTTGCCCCTGCTTTTTTTTCAGATTGTAAGCTCTCCTACGTAGGACCTTCCTAACCCTCTTACATCCAGTTGTTTTGTGATGGTACAGTCTCCCTTAATATCACACGTCAAACACAAGGCCCATAGGCCAAATCCAACCCGCCAGCCATTTTATGCGGCCCTCAAACATCTCCTGCATCTGAGCCACCAACCCTCGACCTCAGCATCCAGCAGCAGACAGGAGGACGGAACTCCTCCACCAGATCCTGCATGCAGCCGCAGAGAGGCTCATCTCTGCCCAACCCCCATCACGTCTCTTCAGTTGGCAGCAAAGAAGATGACAGAATTCCTCCTACAGATCCTGTGCCCCTCTGTGCAGCCAAAGCACCCCATCATCTCCACCTCCCTTGGTCTCAGCATCCAGCAGATTCCGCCAGCTGACTCCAGCCCTCCTCCAGACCCTGCACGTTCTGCGTCCCAGCGCCACGCCCAACTTCTTCCCAGCAGCAGCACAAGGTAAGGGGGGGGGGGGGAACAGTAGTGTAAGAGAGGGTGGGGGAATAACGTTCCAATGTTTCTATCAGTGTCAGTGGGAGGAATGGTGCCCCATCATTGACTTCTTATGATGGGGAGGCTCTTCACATCTAATATATTGGAGGGGGGGGTTGGGGTAGGGTTCTGCGGCCCTCAAACCTCTCCTGCATCTGAGCCACCAACCCTCGCCTCAGCATCCAGCAGCAGACAGGAGGACGGAACTCCTCCACCAGATCCTGTGCCTCTCTGTGCAGCCAAAGCACCCCATCATCTCCACCTCCCCTGGTCTCAGCATTCAGCAGATTCCGCCAGCTGACTCCAGCCCTCCTCCAGACCCTGCATGTTCTGCGTCCCAGCGCCACTCCCAACTTCTTCCCAGCAGCAGCACAAGGTAAGGGGGGGGGGAACAGTAATGTAAGGGAGGGTGGGGGAATAATGTTCCAATATTTCTAGCAGTGTCAGTGGGAGGAACGGTGCCCCATCATTGGTGTCAGTGGGAGGAACGGTGCCCCATCATTGGTGTCAGTGGGAGGAACGGTGCCCCATCATTGGTGTCAGTGGGAGGAACGGTGCCCCATCATTGGTGTCAGTGGGAGGAACGGTGCCCCATCATTGGTGTCAGTGGGAGGAACGGTGCCCCATCATTGGTGTCAGTGGGAGGAACGGTGCCCCATCATTGGTGTCAGTGGGAGGAACGGTGCCCCATCATTGGTGTCAGTGGGAGGAACGGTGCCCCATCATTGGTGTCAGTGGGAGGAACGGTGCCCCATCATTGGTGTCAGTGGGAGGAACGGTGCCCCATCATTGGTGTCAGTGGGAGGAACGGTGCCCCATCATTGGTGTCAGTGGGAGGAACGGTGCCCCATCATTGGTGTCAGTGGGAGGAACGGTGCCCCATCATTGGTGTCAGTGGGAGGAACGGTGCCCCATCATTGGTGTCAGTGGGAGGAACGGTGCCCCATCATTGGTGTCAGTGGGAGGAGTATTGCCCCATCAATCTTGACTTCTTATGATGGGGAGGCTCTTCACATCTAATGTATTGGGGGGGGGTAGGGTTCTCTGGACATCTAGTCTTACAGATACAACCGACCCTTTCAGGGCAATAATGCAGACGTAACCAGTGACTAAATTGAGTTAGTCACCCCTGCTTTATATTGTCAAGTGCTTTGCAAACGGTTGGCACTATATAAATCCCATATAATAACACTTACTCTGTGCTAATAAAAAAACAAAATACAAATAGTAAAGGAAAAGTAAAGTAAATGATACAATATGCTTGTAGCAATCAGCCTACATCACAAACCATACCATATACCCATATGCCTAGCTAGTCACAACTCATCTACCCAACTTTACAGGTCTCTGCAACACCAACCATATTAAAAAAAAAGTTACTTTTCAGAGCACACTTGAACCTGATCAACTTCGAGGGGATAAAACAGACGATTCTTTTAAGAGATGCATGTTAAAGACCCAACATATCCTCATCTGTAACAGCAAAAGGAGTCTTGTGCCGTGAAAAATCCATCAAAAAGAAAACGGGGAAGCACTACTGTGCCCCATCTCACAGCAGATCATGGCCATACAGAACACATTGCCTACATTTCTCTGTGTATTAAAGATTAGCACAATCCTGAATCCCATACTCACCCTCTCCTTTTTCAGACCATCGATGTGTACCTTAATTTTTTTTCTTTATATATACACAGGACTATAAAATGATTGTTGACAGTAGCAATCCCAGTGAGTGGGTGATGAATGAATGAAGGCAAGTATTTCAGCGCAGTAAAAACCAGTGGTACCAGTCCTGGATCGTACCAGCGGATGTTTTTCCATGGGCCTCATCTACTTTTCTGTGCATTGTAAGTACAAGGCAACTCGTTATGCCCACCCCAGCCTGACAGATGCTGAAGTCAAAGGAAGCATATTTTATTTTTCTGCCTTAAAAGAGATACTAAACACACACTGTTTAATTTACATTTTTCTTTCTCAATGTGGATGATGGCACTGTAATAATAATAATAATAATAATAATAATAGAAAAAGAACTAAAAGAAAAAAAAAATTAAAAAAAAAAACGAAACAAAAAAACCTAAAATGAAACAAAAAACCAAGAAAAAACAAACAAAAATACACCCACACAAATACTTTTTCCCTAATCAATAAATATACAGCTGTCACATGACCCAGCTCTTTCCCAGACTGTCTGCAGGGAAACATAAGCAGGAGGAGCTTGCAGTCATCTGCTGCTGATCACACGAGCACAAAAAAAAAAAAAAAAAAAATCAGCCTTTGCAATACAGGGTAAAAAAAAAAAAAAATCAATAAAATGTTTTAAATTTTCATATTTAAAATCAAATCTTCATTTGGCAATAACAAGGTTTGGGTAGATTTCCGCCAGTTACAGGCTCTGTCACGCCCTCCAGCCTGTGTCTTAGAACAGGTGGGAGGTGAAAAGCCTCCATCAATCTAGATGCAATATCCCTCCCATATTGTGTTTAGCTGGTTAGTGAGGAGAGAGGAGAGAGACTGTCATTTACCCCTATTTTATAAAGTGTAATTGTATGATCACTAAGTCGCGCCAAATGATGCTCTTTAAATGATATATCCAAATAGCTGCCACTATAAATGCTATGTCAAAACTTATTTCAAATATTACCACCTTAAACACTAGTGATTATTAGCGGCGCATTATGTGTCTAGAACACATTAAAACTTATTGTCAATCTCTGTGCATAATTCCTTGTCTTCACTGCTGCAATACAAACATATTGTGCACAAAATATATAAAAAAACCTAAAAAATATTTTAAAAAAATTATATGTGACATCAAAATATAGTGCCCAGATTAAACACCATAAATCATAAGTCCTGTGAAAAAATTATAAAAAGTCCAAAAAAATGTTCTTCCACAATGCAAGTCCTCTGTTAATGTGATTCCCAGTGAAAAAAGACATAAACCGCGTGCTGTGCCCTTCATACCCCCCCTCAGGTGTGCACTCACCAGAACACAGCTTTTAATTAGCCTTGTTATATAGATTCCAAATGTTGAGACCGGGAGGTTCCTCCAACAATCACCCATGATATGAATGGTAGCCAGGATCATAACATATACTCCTCTCCATGCTCACCCTGGGGGGGGTCATTGGGAACAGCGCTTCTCACCCGGAGGGGGGTCATTGGGAACAGCGCTTCTCACATGGGGGGGGGGTCATTGGGAACAGCGCTTCTCACCCGGGGGGGGGGGGGTCATTGGGAACAGCGCCTCTCACCCGGGGGGGGGGGGGGGGGGGGGGGTCATTGGGAACAGCGCTTCTCACCCGGGGGGGGGGGGGTCATTGGGAACAGCGCTTCTCACCCGGGGGGGGGGGGGTCATTGGGAACAGCGCTTCTCACCCGGGGGGGGGGGTCATTGGGAACAGCGCTTCTCACCCGGGGGGGGGTCATTGGGAACAGCGCTTCTCACCCGGGGGGGGGGGGGGGGGGGGTCATTGGGAACAGCGCTTCTCACCCGGGGGGGGGGGGGGGGAGGGGTCATTGGGAACAGCGCTTCTCACCCGGGGGGGGGGGGGGTGTCATTGGGAACAGCGCTTCTCACCCGGGGGGGGGGGGGTCATTGGGAACAGCGCTTCTCACCCGGGGGGGGGGGGGTCATTGGGAACAGCGCTTCTCACCCGGGGGGGGGGGGTCATTGGGAACAGCGCTTCTCACCCGGGGGGGGGGGGGGGTCATTGGGAACAGCGCTTCTCACCCGGGGGGGGTCATTGGGAACAGCGCTTCTCACCCGGGGGGGGGGTCATTGGGAACAGCGCTTCTCACCCGGGGGGGGGTCATTGGGAACAGCGCTTCTCACCCGGGGGGGGGGGTCATTGGAAAACAGCGCTTCTCACCCGGGGGGGGGGTCATTGGGAACAGCGCTTCTCACCCGGGGGGGGGTCATTGGGAACAGCGCTTCTCACCCGGGGGGGGGTCATTGGGAACAGCGCTTCTCACCCGGGGGGGGGTCATTGGGGAACAGCGCTTCTCACCCGGGGGGGGGGGTCATTGGGAACAGCGCTTCTCACCCGGGGGGGGGGGGGGGCATTGGGAACAGCGCTTCTCACCCGGGGGGGGGGGGTCATTGGGAACAGCGCTTCCCAACCTTGGGGGGGGGGGGTCATTGGGGACAGCGCTTCCCAACCTTGGGGGGGGGGGGGGGTCATTGGGAACAGCGCTTCCCAACCTTGGGGGGGGGGGGGGGGGTCATTGGGAACAGCGCTTCCCAACCTTGGGGCTTCCCAACTTGGGGGGGGGGAACAGCGCTTCCCAACCTTGGGGGGGGGGTCATTGGGAACAGCGCTTCCCAACCTTGGGGGGGGGGTCATTGGGAACAGCGCTTCCCAACCTTGGGGGGGGGGGGGGTCATTGGGAACAGCGCTTCCCAACCTTGGGGGGGGGGGGGGTCATTGGGAACAGCGCTTCCCAACCTTGGGGGGGGGGTCATTGGGAACAGCGCTTCCCAACCTTGGGGGGGGGGGGTCATTGGGGGGGGGGGGTCAACAGCGCTTCCCAACCTTGGGGGGGGGGGGGTCATTGGGAACAGCGCTTCCCAACCTTGGGGGGGGGGGGGGGTCATTGGGAACAGCGCTTCCCAACCTTGGGGGGGGGGGGGTCATTGGGAACAGCGCTTCCCAACCTTGGGGGGGGGGGGGGTCACTGGGAACAGCGCTTCCACAACAGCGCTTCCCAACCTTGGGGGGGGGGTCATTGGGAACAGCGCTTCCCAACCTTGGGGGGGGGGGGGGGGGTCATTGGGAACAGCGCTTCCCAACCTTGGGGGGGGGGGGGGGTCATTGGGAACAGCGCTTCCCAACCTTGGGGGGGGGGTCATTGGGAACAGCGCTTCCCAACCTTGGGGGGGGGGGGGGGGTCATTGGGAACAGCGCTTCCCAACCTTGGGGGGGGGGGGCGCTCATTGGGAACAGCGCTTCCCAACCTTGGGGGGGGGGGGGGGGGGGGTCATTGGGAACAGCGCTTCCCAACCTTGGGGGGGGGGGGGGGGGTCATTGGGAACAGCGCTTCCCAACCTTGGGGGGGGGGGGGTCATTGGGAACAGCTTCCCAACCTTGGGGGGGGGGGGTCATTGGGAACAGCGGCTTCCCAACCTTGGGGGGGGGGGGGGGTCATTGGGAACAGCGCTTCCCAACCTTGGGGGGGGGGGGGGGGGGGGGGGGAGTCATTGGGAACAGCGCTTCCCAACCTTGGGGGGGGGGGGGTCATTGGGAACAGCGCTTCCCAACCTTGGGGGGGGGGGGGGGGAACAGCGCTCATTGGGAACAGCGCTTCCCAACCTTGGGGGGGGGGGGGGGGGGTCATTGGGAACAGCGCTTCCCAACCTTGGGGGGGGGGGGGGGGTCATTGGGGGGGGGGGGTCATTGGGAACAGCGCTTCCCAACCTTGGGGGGGGGGGGGGGGGTCATTGGGCGCTTCCCAACCTTGGGGGGGGGGGGGTCATTGGGAACAGCGCTTCCCAACCTTGGGGGGGGGGGGGTCATTGGGAACAGCGCTCATTGGGAACAGGGAACAGCGCTTCCCAACCTTGGGGGGGGGGGGGTCATTGGGAACAGCGCTTCCCAACCTTGGGGGGGGGGGGGTCATTGGGAACAGCGCTTCCCAACCTTGGGGGGGGGGGGGGTCATTGGGAACAGCGCTTCCCAACCTTGGGGGGGGGGGGGGTCATTGGGAACAGCGCTTCCCAACCTTGGTGGGGGGGGGGGGTCATTGGGAACAGCGCTTCCCAACCTTGGGGG